AAAAAAAAAAAAAAAAAAAAAATCGGGCAAAGCATTCAACAATATGAAAAACCAATATTTTTTTCCTCCTGAATCTACTGGGGCAATGGAACGCTTTGCTGAATATGGAAATTAGAACTAAGGTAGGGCCTGTTCCAATGCTTACTGTGTCTTTCCACTGACTAGTAGGCTTTGTATAATTGATAATATGGTATTCAAACCACTTCTTCAAGATATCTGTACATCAATGAATTTAATAAATGATATAGTAGCAGTACCAAAAGTAAATTTTGCTTGGCAAGGAAACAGCAATGGGAACAAACGTTTTCTTAAATTAGTTTACTAGGGTAAATATTTTGTGTAATTTGTGCAATTATTATGGAATTTTTATTTTCTATCCAGTAACACAAATTTTAAAAAGTAAATTAGACACCCACTCTAAAGCTGGTCATCTCTTTAGTCATTTTTCCCACCCATTTCGATTTGGGCATAATATTGAGGAATCTACTATTCCATGAGTACCTATTCCATCTACCCATCCCATGAGTACCAAATACCTCTCTAGGAGAGAGATCTCTTTTATACCTTTTGGGTTCTGAGCTTTTAGGTGATATGCAACATTGATAGTTGCTCTTGAGTGAGCATCTTATAAAATAGGAATAGAACTGATGTGTTGGGCACAGGGGCAGGAGAAAATAAGGATAAGTTGATGTTAAGAACTGATGATAGATATTAAGGGAAAATAAGCATGAAGAATTATCTTAATCTGTAAGATCTGCATGATTCGTAAACTCTAAAATAGCTACTAATAATCTGAACAATCAGTGACTGATTTCAGCATGATTTTCAGAAAAGGGGGCTTCAACTTCCAGTCTAGGAATTTAGATATTGACTTTTGGACATGTTTGTGACACACGCACACACATGCAAGGACACATGCCTTTTGATCCCTACATAGGAAATAAAGACACGTGATTTATAAAGAGTGGCTTTCTGAAAAATCATACCTTTCTTTAAAACCAATCAAGACTATCGTAACCCATTAGCAAATTACAATTTAAATGTTCTAAGGTAAAACGGTAGATGAAAATTCCATAACAATTGGCTTATGATGATAACCTTACATTTACACCATTTTTTTTCTTTACTCTCTCAAGTTAGATTTTCTGGAAGATAAACCTATCTTCTGGTAATAAGATATAAGACCTAAATATATAGTAACTGGAATCTTTGGAAAGATTTGCTGGTATTAAAGGCTTCCTTTATTTAATTCGGAATAAGAATTTCATACACTTTTTAGCCTGGAAATCTAGAAGATCTAGTGATCTGATTCATCAAAAAGGGACAGCAGGATTACCATAGTTAGGCCAATTTAGATTACCATAGCAGGGTTACCATTGTGAAGCTACCATTATAATTTTTTTCTCTAAAGGGAGAGGTAAATGTTGTTAACTATTGTTGCTGTTCGAAAATAATTTCCTAACTTGCTGTTTTCTATTTTTTCCAGTAGTTTTGACCAATTCTTTCCACATTATTTTTTCCAGGTACATCATATTTAACAGATATAGTATGGTGGTCTGGCACTATTGCAAGTAAGTATCTGATGCTGAAGATGATATAAAGAATGGAGTAGCCTAGCAAGTTGGATTTAATGAGGGAGCGCTGTGGCTAAAAGCTATATGATGGCACAGGAACTTGGAAGATCTGGGTTTTTTTATTTTGACTTTTTCCTTGACCTATTTCATGAAATTGTCTAAAAAATGGACATAATTAACTTACTTTATAAACTAGGTAGCCTGTTTTGTATTCTAGTGGTTGTTCTAACTTTGCCCATGAGCCCTCACAAAACTGGCTAGCTTTCTAGAATTCAAGAAACCTTTGATACTGAAGCTATTGGCACTTGCCCAAGGTACATGCTGAACATCAGTAGATTGTGTTAGTATGCTCAAAGGTGAATAAGAAATTGTAATTTTTTACTGCAATGTGTCTAAATCACATGTTAATTTTGAAATCAGAAAACAGCCAACTTCCATCTTATGCTGTAGCTGCTTAAGATAGACATGAAAAATACTTACCTGTATAGATGGGGGGAGTTGTTTTTGTTTTGTTTTGGGCCAATCTACTACAGGAGCTAGGCTCCTGATGCCTTAAACAGTAGTGAATGTGAGATGAATGCAGATTCAGATACAGGGCCTTTGCAATACTTGCTCATGTATCTAGTGTCTCTCATTATTTTGAATGGACTGATAATGTGAAATGCAAAAAAAAAAAAGATAGTAAGTAGCATGGGTTGTTCTCACTTCAGTCAGTGGAACTACCTTTGTGAGTTAAGGCTGTGTCCTACCTTAGTACGGGAATCCCACTTTTTCAGAATTAGATGGAATTCTTCTGGTATACAGTCCTCAGCAATATTTGGATTGCAGATAATCACTAGACTTTTCAGTTATGTTTCTTGTTTAGCCACACAGAGAAAGATCCTTGCTCTTGCACTACTCAGGTGAAATAAAGGAAATGGAAACAAATCATTTCAACCAACAAATTTTCCCAATGTCAGAGAAGCTCACAGCAAGTATAGAGCCAGCGCATCTAGTACATGTATGTCCAGAGTTGTCCCTTGGCTGCTTTAACTTGATCTGAGACAGCTTCCTGACAATATTGCTACTCTGCTGTGACAAGAGGAAGCTGGGTGAGAGAGTGAACCTGTTCTATAACATTTAGCATGTGTTAGTCTTACCGCTTGTTTCCTGCCTGACCTCCACTTTGAACCACTAGACAGAAAGAGAAAAAGAGAAACCTTAAGGGAGTTTTTCTCAGCAAATCAGAATAACCCTGTTAAACTGAGTTGTTAAGTTAAAGTCACATAATAAGTTGGTATGTTGGTTATTATTCATCACCTATATAGGGGTATGTCAAAACTAATCATCTAGAACAGCGGTTCCCAAACTAACAGATTGCTTATCACCAATTTAAAACAATTTACCACCAGCAAATTTTTGTCATGTAAAGTAATTTTAATAAATCTGTTAACACATACCACTGACAGGTTGTTTGCCTACCACATATCACACATTGGGAACCACTGATCTAGAAGTATCTAAACCACAGAAAGAGTTAACAAGAGTGCAGTGGATTTATAGTTTCATAGTTTCTAGGGTCGAAAGGGACCTGAGAAGATCATCTAGTCCGACCCCCTGCCATGGCAGGAAAGAGTACTGGGGTCAAACGACCCCAGCAAGGTGTTCATCTAACCTCTTAAAAACCTCCA